CTGGTAACAGTTTTAGACGAGATCAGATGTGAAAACAACAAAATTTTGCAACTTCTAGAAAGTAAGCACATCTCACAACTTACCTTTCCTTAGGAATCCACCTATTTTAATTGAATCCAATAAAGGGTTCTGCAGAACCCTTCTTTATGATGCCTTTTCTTGAAATGAGGATGCAGGCACTGCATATAGCACAATTCTATTTTCATTTAACCAACAATTAAAAGGTAAATTGATCTTCGTACTGCTAGAACTACACTAACTTAGATTGAAATTAGCATCAAGGGTCCAGGATGAGTGGATACCAATCATTTAATGGAAACTGAAACATTTGCAAAAATGAAATGCCTGCAAAACCGTTCAAGTCATCCATCATTAGATCTAAAATAAAGCATTTCATCAAATAGCATAGGGTAGGTTTAAGCTTTATATCTTACTTAGAGCTAGCTCTTTTACACAAAACTCAACACACAGAACTAGAACCAGCTGTTGGGCAATTAAACAACATGATTATGTCAAAGAAACTGTCTATATAATGTAACAGAAAAATGGAAAAATGAAGATCAAGAAAATGTACATTAACTCAATCAGAAGAATTCTTGAGTGAATTAAAACTAGTCCAAGGAGCTTGATCCCATCCTGTCATATATATTTTCAGTCCCAAATAGTTTCATGAATCAGGATTTCATTTTGCAAGCCATATAGGAAATGTGATGCTAACCAAAATAAAATGCAATAGCTAGAAAGTTGGACCATCTCACAGCTTCAAAACGGCTTCACTCATTAAGGAACAAAAACTACATATGTATTAAATCCATCAGATGAAATGGAAGGAAGGACAAAGGGATCACCACTTCCAACATTTATTTACCAAGAGTGGCAATGTTGTGTCCCTTTAATACTTGATTCTGATCAGGTACTGGTGCTAGCATCTATGCACAAAATGACAATATCATATCTTATTCTAATTGTGACAACATCAACAGAAAAATCATAATTAAAACATTTATATTCAATCAAAGAAATGACCATATGAGGAATTAAAACTTAGAGCAAAAGATTGAAGATGTGGCTTGATTCTTACATGACCTAATTCCTTGTGTTATATTAAAACAAAAACCATAACTTCAGTATGGAAAAAAAGAGAGAAAAAATTCATTTGCCTTCTTTTCATTTCATTCATATGAAGGTATAAACAGAACAAATACCATGCCAAATTACATGGGATAAGAAACTGTCACTGCAATAAGAAGGAAGGAACTAGATGATTGTAAGAACATACCCAGAAAATTTTTGAGGTTAAGATCAGCATACTCAAGAGCCACCAGATCAGTGCTCCTAAGCTTCTTATTAGCATCAATGGTGGCAAAAGCATAAGCATAAGCATATATCATTGTTGGCTACTTGGCTATGATGATGAAGAGGAGTAAAAATGTGAAATGTTATCAGTGAAGGAGCTTGTTTTGTAGCTTTAAGGACTACACAAGGGTAGTAGCGGTAGGCCAGGCACAGTGAAGAAGCCATTTCAATGGCTATTGCCATTCCCACCATTTTAGCAGTTATTTATATGTTGAGCAGTCAATGAGTCTTCACAAAATACATGGATGACAACTTTCTAATCTCCAGAAAACCAACTTCTTCTTTTCCATTGACATAAATGTTAAACTTCAGAATATTGCAGATCTCCCTCTTATGTTTTAGCCTACAAAAGGAAAATTAACCCTACAAAAGGAAAATTAATCCTTATTATTTTTCTTGATTTTTTCTTGGCCATCTTTCAACCATGATTTAATATCCAAGATTTGAGGAAAAATAACCTAAACCAAAGCATACAAGGAACTGAAAAAAGGGAAAACACTAAAACTAGCTTTATCTTTTATTTAGACTTGAATTCATTTGATTGTCATTCTGTTTTGAAGCTAAAATGAAAAGAGAGATTAATTAGATGAGCCAAGTTCTAAGTCTCCAACAACATAGTGAAAATAAATTTGATTGCTGAAAAAATTCAAGTCTTGAAATTTGACATTCATAAAAAAAGAAAGGAACTGCTGTGAATCAAAACAATATATATACATATATAAATGAACTGCAAATGATTATGATTATGATGGAGTATTTTTGTAAGAAATACCAGAACTTTTGTGGCTACCAAGAATTCTAAAAGGAATGAGTAAGATAAAAGTTAGAATAGTTTAAGTTCCTAAATTAATTCTCAAAAAAACTTAAAATTTTCTACAAATTTGAGAAAAGCTAAGTTTTACCTTAACTTCAATGTAGGGGATGTGAGCAATGAGGGGCCAATAGTCTCCTTTCTCCTCCATGTATCGTCGTTGCAGCAGCGGGCAGTTTGTAATTAGGAGTTGTTGAAGCGAGGGAGGCAGGCCTTCCTTTGGCAAGGACTAGAAGTTGCCGCAAAACGAAATTTCTAAAACTTGAAGCGAGGGAGGCAAGACTTTATTTGGCAAGGACCGGAAGTTGTCGCAATTCAAAATCATGAGGCATCGAAGGGAGGCAAGGAGGGCTTCCTTTGACAGCATCTGCAGCTTTGGACAATCCTTAATTATTAAACCTCAAAGAGAGTTGAGATTTTGGAGGAGCCCTTTAGGTATGGATTTCATATTTTCAACATTACGCACCACAAGACAGGTTAGAGAAGTGGGAAGCACATTATCTGGAGGACATATCCAACAAATCTCAAAACTTAGAAGCGAAGTGATGCTGCTGAGGCCCCATTCTTGCATCGGCTTCTTCAGATTCTTGCAATAAATTATCAGTTCTCCAAGGTTTGGGGCAGAACCACAGTATGGAATGGACTCAATACTTGGGCAATGGCGAATTTGAAGATATTTTAGGTTCGGAGGCAAACCATCATCCGGTATGGACTCAATTCTTGGGCAATCGCCAATTACAAGAGAAGTTAGGTTTGGAGGCAAACCACCATCTGATATGGACTCAATTCTTAGGCAATTGACAATTACAAGAGAAGTTAGGTTCGGATGCAAACCACCGTCTGATATGGACTCAATTCCTGAACAATTTTCTATATGTAATTTATCGAGTGAGTTGAGGTCTTGCAGCTTATTAGGTAAGGACTTGAGATTCTCGCAACAAGATATACAAAGATCTCTAAGGTTTGGAGAAAAACCAGAGTCTGGAATGGACTCAATCCCTAGGCAAAAAGAAATTTTAAGAGATAATAGGTTCGAAGGCAAACCACCATCTGGTATGAACTCAATTCTTGGACACTGGGTTATACATAATTCATCGAGAGACTTGAGGTGCTGCAGCTTATCAGGTAAGGACTTGAGATTCTTGAAACTGTTTATGGTTAACCTTTTAAGATTAGGGATAAACGGGCAGAGTAACTCCAAACCATCTAAACCATCTAACTTATCTATCCGTGAACATTTGAGGATATAACAATTGTGGATATAACGTCTCTCATATTTTGACCAATCATCTCTAGAATTATTACCATAGAGTTGAATCTCTTCAAGTTCCCTATAATACTGCAGCATTCTCTGAGGGATAAATTCCAATTGCTTGCAATTACGGACATAAAGGCGTTTAAAAGAATTTGGTAGGTGGCCAGTTGGAAAAGATTTCAGACAAGGACAGCTTTCAATACTTAATTCTGCAAAATGGGACACTTGACATGCATCACCATTATTCATCAATATTCCTTCTGGTAACGATTCTAGCTTTTCACATTCTTCAATTTTGAGGATTTTAAGCATGGTGAGTGACTTGCCTCTTAGAAACATTCTAAGAGCACGACATCTACTTATATATAATTCTTCGAGTCGCTCCATCATCATCTCACTAGGCAAGGACTCCAGTGCCCCCACAATCATGTATGTCCAAAGTTTGAACACCATTGGGGAGAAAACCTTGTTCTTTCCCCGTTAGGGATGCAAGCAGAGGGCACCAGCCGATCTCCATTCTCTTAAGGCATGGGAGGTTTACCATATTGGCTCCTTCCTCCCACAAACAAGTGAGTTCATCACATCTTGTAATCTCCATAACCTCAAGTGCTATCAAGGACTCCACAAAACTCTTGGGCAACCAAATCAACTTAGAAATTCTGCTAATTCTCAATGTTTTGAGTGAGTTGAGGTCAACCATACTCCTCAAGAAGGCCTCACTGCATCTTTCAACACACAACTCTTCAAGTGATGGAAGACTTATTAGTGAATATATTAACTTAAAGCATCTGGCAATCTTTAGCTTTTTAAGGACAGGAATGCATTTTGGAAATTTTCCTTTCAGTATGGGGCAATCTTGCAATTTCAACCTCTCCAATGATGGAAAAGCTGAAGCTGAAGAAGAATTGTCCTTGTCAACCATCATAGTTTGTATTGCATATATGCCTGCCAACAAAAAAAAAAAA